CCAACTGTTGTCACCTTCTCACCAAGCTGCTTGGCCATAGTTTGGTAGCCCAGTCCAGCCTTGTGTAGGTCTACCATCTTGTCCCTGACATCCTTGGACAGCTCTTTGGTCTTTGCCATGGTGGAGAGTTTGGAATCTGATGGTTTGATGGCTCCTGTGGACAGGTGTCTTTTATACAGGTAACACAATGAGATTAGCAGCACTCCCTTTAAGAGACTGCTTCTAATCTCAGCTTGTTACCTGTATGAGAGACACCTGGGAGCCAGAAATCCTGCTGAATGATAGGGGATCAAATCCTTCTTTCCCTCATGAACATGCAGATCCGTCATCATTTGTTAGACGCATTTCTGCTGAATTTGTTGTTGTATTCTGTCTCTCAGTGTTACACCGAACATTCCATTGTTAGACCGATCATTTCTGTGTGAGGGGTGAACATTCCATTGTTAGACCGATCGTTTCTGTGTGAGGGGCGAACATTCCATTGTTAGACCGATCGTTTCTGTGTGAGGGGCGACCATTCCATTGTTAGACCGATCATTTCTGTGTGAGGGGGAACATTCCATTGTTAGACCGATCGTTTCTGTGTGAGGGGCGAACATTCCATTGTTAGACCGATCATTTCTGTGTGAGGGGCGAACATTCCATTGTTAGACCGATCATTTCTCTGTGTGAGGGGGGAACATTCCATTGTTAGACCGATCGTTTCTGCGTGAGGGGGAACATTCCATTGTTAGACCGATCGTTTCTGCGTGAGGGGCGAACATTCCATTGTTAGACCGATCATTTCTGTGTGAGGGGCGAACATTCCATTGTTAGACCGATCATTTCTGTGTGAGGGGCGAACATTCCATTGTTAGACCGATCATTTCTGTGTGAGGGGCGAACATTCCATTGTTAGACCGATCATTTCTGTGTGAGGGGCGAACATTCCATTGTTAGACCGATCATTTCTGTGTGAGGGGCAAACATTCCATTGTTAGACCGATCATTTCTGTGTGAGGGGCAAACATTCCATTGTTAGATCGATCATTTCTGTGTGAGGGGCGAACATTCCATTTTCTCTGTGTGAGGGGCGAACCCATTGATCATTTCTCTGTGTGAGGGGCGAACATTCCATTGTTAGACCGATCATTTCTCTGTGTGAGGGGGGGAACATTCCATTGTTAGACCGATCATTTCTCTGTGTGAGGGGGGAACATTCCATTGTTAGACCGATCATTTCTCTGTGTGAGGGGGGAACATTCCATTGTTAGACCGATCATTTCTCTGTGTGAGGGGGGAACATTCCATTGTTAGACCGATCATTTCTCTGTGTGAGGGGCGAACATTCACCATCAGGAGGGGGCAGATACACATTTCCTGCACTGTAGGAGTTTGTGATGAGCGGGGACACTGCTGAACCCGATTGTCCAAGTCACTCCTCACTGAACACATTTCCTACATATACAGAGAATATCGGGAATTCAGGAATATCCTCATGAAGAGCATCTCCAGGGATCCTCCCGCTCAGGATGGACAAAAAGGAGACATTTAGAGACTTCTATATAAAGTCATATCTGGCAGAGCTCTGGTAAGGCTCAGTGAGTAGAACTACAAATGTCAGCAATCCCTCTAGTGGAAGAGCTTCAGTAACTCGTTATCCTCAATCCCAGACGGGCATCTCTGGAAATCTCCATGACGGTGGATTATATGAAGGATTCGTGAATTTTCTGGTGGGGTTTGGTGGCCTTTGATGTCTCCACCAGGATATGGTCCGGCTTACAGATTTAGTGGGATGTTTTACACACATTAGAGGACGTCTAATGATCTGCAGTAATTACCGGAGGACTGGAATCATTCCGTAACTCACAGGATTCTGACCGCTGGCAGGTGTTCGGGGGAGGGGGGGAGGGGTTCCGGGAACTCAGCATCTGGGATTACAAAGACACGTATGACCCTGGTGGCAGCTGTGATCATCACATGTGGGCCATGGGAGTGCCACCACCTGGTACCTGGAATCTGCTCATTACAGAAGAGTCAATGCCAGGCCAGGAGATGAGCTCAACATTACAGAATTCTGCAACCTTCAGCCTCTGAAACGTTCCTCTATAGGAGTGTTTCTCAACTCCAGTCCTCATGGACCCCCAACAGGTCATGTTTTCAGGATTTCCATTATTTTGCACAGGTGATTTGATCAGTTTCACTGCCTTAGTAATTACCACAGCTGTTTCATCTGAGGGAAATCCTGAAAACATGACCTGTTGGGGGTCCATGAGGACTGGAGTTGAGAAACACTGCTCTATATACACACACACCTCTATCCCCTTACTGATGATCTGACCAATGAGGGGGGGTGGTTAGAAAAGGGAAGACCCACCCCCATCCTCCACCAACTACACTTAGAAAACAAAAAACGAAGCTAAAGCTCTTCATAGGAGTCACATGATGAGCGAGGTCTCCAGTCTTGTGTCCTCCTCACTGCAAGGGAGAGGTCTTCATCAGGGGGGTCACTCCCAGCCGGCCCCTCACTGGTCTGATGACATCAGGGAAAGGGCAACAAGACGGGTTGGGGCCGGGTCCAGACGGGTTGGGGCCACATAAACCAGATCGTAAAGATTAAAGCCTGCTCCGTGTCCCGTGATGTACCATTTAAAAAAAAACAAAAAAACCAACACACTTGTTGTGACGCCTTCCTTCAATCTGGAGGGACACACACAGTAACGTGTCGGAATGTCAATACGTGTCTGGGCAGCGTGGCTGTACGGATGACAACCTACCAATCAACTGCTGTACCCCCCCCCCCCCCTGACTCCATATCACTGCCCCCCCCCCCCCCCCCCCCCCCCCTGACTCCATATCACTGCCCCACCCCCCCCGCCCCTGACTGCTGTACCCCCCCCACCCGACTCCATATATCACTGCCCCAACCCCAACTGCTGTACCACCCCCCACCCGACTCCATATCACTGCCCCGCCCCCAACTGCTGTACCCCCCCCACCCCTGACTTCATATCACTGCCCCAACCCCAACTGCTGTACCACCCCCCCACCCGACTCCATATCACTGCCCAACCCCAACTGCTGTACCCCCCCCCCCCCCTTACTCCATATAATTCTCCCACCCCCAACTCTGTACCCCCCCCCCCGCTGACTTCATATCACTGCCCCCCCCCCAACTGCTGTACCACCCCCCACCCCTGACTCCATATCACTGCCCCAACCCCAACACCGTAACACCACCCCAAGAACACCCCTACAGATCTGTGTCTGGGCAGCGTGGCTGTACGGATGACAACCTACTAATCAACTGCTGTACCCCCACCCCTTACTCCATATCACTGCCCCGCCCCCAACTGCTGTACCCCGCCCCCCGCCCCTGACTCCATATCACTGCCCCAACCCCAACTGCTGTACCCCCCCCCACCCCTGACTCCATATCACTGCCCCGCCCCCAACTGCTGTACCACCCCCCCGAGAACACCCCTACAGATCTGTGTCTGGGCAGCGTGGCTGTACGGATGACAACCTACTAATCAACTTCTCTACCACCGCCCAGCCCCTATATCGCTGCCCCGCCCCCACATCACTGCCCCGCCCTGACTCCATATCGCTGCCCCACCCCCACATCACTGCCTCGCCCCCATATCGCTGCCCCACACCCCCACATCACTGCCCCGCCCCCGACTCCATATCGCTGCACCGAGAACACTCCTACAGATCTGTGTATGGACAGGGTGGTTATATGGATGTGAATCTACTGATCAACGCCTGAACCATATCGACTCCAACTCTGTACCTACGCCCCGCCCCCCCCATACTCTCTGTACCTACGCCCCGCCCGCCTCCATATCGCTGCCCCGCCCCCATCTGTACCTACGCCCCGCCCGGCCCTGACCCCGCTGCCCCACCCCCAACTCTGTACCTACGCCCCCCCCGCCCCTGACTCCATATCACTGCCCCGCCCTGTACCCCCCCCCCCCCCTCCATCCATCGCTGCTCCATATCACTGCCCCCAACCCCAACTGCTGTACCCCCCCCCCCCTTACTCCATATAATTCTCCCACCCCCAACTCTGTACCCCCCCCCGCTGACTTCATATCACTGCCCCGCCCCCAACTGCTGTACTGACCCATATCACTGCCCCAACCCCAACACCGTAACACCACCCCAAGAACACCCCTACAGATCTGTGTCTGGGCAGCGTGGCTGTACGGATGACAACCCTAATCAACTGCTGTACCCCCACCCCTTACTCCATATCACTGCCCCGCCCCCAACTGCTGTACCCCGCCCCCCGCCCCTGGCCATATCACTGACCCCAACCCCAACTGCCCCCCCCCCACCCCTGACTCCATATCGCTGCCCCCAACTGCTGTACCCAACTCAGATCTGTGTCTGGGGAGCGTGGCTGTACCAACCTACTAATCAACTTCTCTACCACCGCCCCCCTATATCGCTGCCCCCGCCCCCACATGACTCCCCGCCCCCATATCGCTGCCCCACCCCCAACTCTCCATATCGTGCACCTACGCCCCTGCCGCCTCCATATCGCTGCCCCCGCCCCCAACTCTGTACCTATGCCCCGCCCGGCCCTGACCCCATATCGCTGCCCCATATCGCTGCCCCCCACTCTGTACCTACGCCCCGCCCGGCCTCCATATCGCTGCCCCACCCCCAACTCTGTACCTATGCCCCGCCCGGCCCTGACCCCATATCGCTGCCCCACCCCCAACTCTGTACCTATGCCTCCATATCGCCCCCCCCACCCCCAACTCTGGGCCCTGACCCCATATCGCTGCCCCGCCCCCCGCCCGGCCCTGACCCCATACTGCTGCCCCGCCCCCAACTGACAGAAGGATGTGGAGCTCAACACTACAACCTCTGACGGTGGAGATGGGTTTTAGAACGATAAAAGGGGGCCACCGTTACCGACCTTCATTCTACCCCCCCCCCCCCCCAAACTGGAAGATTCCTCTCTGTGGGAAGTCGTGATATAAATTCGGAAGATGGAGTCTACTGACCTCCTGAACTGCCTGTCCTGGTAAGTTCTGGAGCTCCAGATTCTGGGGTCTACCACAGCTACCAGAAGGAGAAGTAGGACAAGAAGGATGACCAGGAGGAGCACCCGCTGGCGGGAGAACTGTGTCACTGAGGGCAGACTGCAGTGCCAGGAGCCGGGGAAGAGGCAGGAGAAGCCGATTCTAGAAAGAGAAATATACACAGAATTAGGAGGAATCCAGAACCGGCATTACCAGTGGGAGGGGCCAGATCAGTACAGAGCCCCTCCCCTTATATGGACAGGACAATGGGGGATGTGCTCTGTAGTCCAGCAGGTACAGGTGACAACACTGCATGGGATGTCAGAACAGCAGGGGTGGAGTTGTCAGCGGCTCACTGGATCTCTGAAAGATTCCGGAGATTTCCTTCACCTATAGTGATGGAGAACGTTCATGACGTGGTCAGATGTACGGCACAGGACCAGACTGTTCACTTCACCCAGTATATACCGCCCCCCGCATAAACCGCCCCCCGCATATACCGCCCCCCCCCGCCTATACCGCCCCCCCCCCCCCCCCCGCCTATACCGCCCCCCGCCTATACCGCCCCCCCCCCATATACCCCGCCCCGCATATACCGCCCCTCGCATATACCGCCCCCCGCCTATACCGCCCCCCCCCCGCCTATACCGCCCCCCCCCCCCCCCGCATATACCGCCCCCCCCCGCATATACCGCCCCCCGCATACACCCTCATCCTCCATCGAGAGGATCATCCAGTATATACCGCCCCCCGCATCCCCCGGTATATACCCCCATCCATCCTCCACACACACCGAGAGCGTCCCCCGGTATATACCGCCCATCCCCCACACACACCGAGAGCGTCCCCCCGTATATACCGCCCATCCCCCACACACACCGAGAGCGTCCCCCGGTATATACCGCCCATCCCACACCGAGAGCGTCCCCCGGTATATACCGCCCATCCCCCACACACACCGAGAGCGTCCCCCGGTATATACCGCCCATCCCCCACACCGAGAGCGTCCCCCGGTATATAGCCCAGCGTCCCCCACCGAGGTATATACCGCCCATCCCCCACACACACACCGAGAGCGTCCCCCGGTATATACCGCCCATCCCCCACACACCGAGAGCGTCCCCCGGTATATACCGCCCATCCCCCACCGACACCGAGATCCGTCCACCCCGAGAGCGTCCGCCCATACCCCCATCCCCCACCGACACCGAGAGCGTCCCCCGGTATATACCGCCCATCCCCCACACACCGAGAGCGTCCCCGGTATATACCGCCCATCCTCCACACACACACGAGAGCGTCCCCCGGTATATACCGCCCATCCCCCACACACACCGAGAGCGTCACCCGGTATATACCGCCCATCCTCCACACACACCGAGAGCGTCCCCCGGTATATACCGCCCATCCCCCACACACACCGAGAGCGTCCCCCGGTATATACCGCCCATCCCCCACACACACCCCGATATACCGAGAGAGCGTCCCCCGGTATATACCGCCCATCCTCCACACACCGAGAGCGTCCCCCGGTATATACCGAGAGCGCCCCCGGTATATACCGCGTCCCCCGGTATATACCCCCACCCCCACACACCGAGAGCGTCCCCCGGTATATACCGCCCATCCCCGGTATATACCGCCCATCCCCCACACACCGAGAGCGTCCCCCGGTATATACCGCCCATCCCCCACACACCCGAGAGCGTCCCCCGGTATATACCGCCCATCCCCCCACACACCGAGAGCGTCACCCGGATATACCGCCCATCCCCCACACACCGAGAGCGTCCCCCCACACACCGATATACCGCCCATCCCCCACACACCCGAGAGCGTCACCCGGTATATACCGCCCATCCCCACACACACCGAGAGCGTCCCCCGGTATATACCGCCCCCACACACCCGAGAGCGTCACCCGGTATATACCGCCCATCCTCCACACACACCGAGAGCGTCACCCGGTATATACCGCCCATCCCCCACACACACCGAGAGCGTCCCCCGGTATATACCGCCCATCCCCCACACACACCGAGAGCGTCCCCCGGTATATACCGCCCATCCCCCACACACCGAGAGCGTCCCCCGGTATATACCGCCCATCCTCCACACACCGAGAGAGCGTCCCCCGGTATATACCGCCCATCCCCCACACACACACACCGAGAGCGTCCCCCGGTATATACCGCCCATCCCCCACACACCGAGAGCGTCCCCCGGTATATACCGCCCATCCCCCACACACCGAGAGCGTCCCCCGGTATATACCGCCCATCCCCCACACACCGAGAGCGTCATACACCAAGCTCACGATGCCGTACAGCAGGCTGGGACCACCCTGAATATTGTTGTAGCTGTGGCCAATCCACGATTCTTGTGCCCGGAATTAGGTATACAAATCTACAGAGAGCCGCGAGGAGTCCCACCGCAGAGATCCCGGAATAATTCAGGCAGATTCTGGAGGAACCCAAATACCGGGTCTGATAGGTTTCACCTTTGACAGTGTCCATGTGACCATCGATCCCCAACCGCTGACCACCCACTACGAGATATCAGAGCCATACCATCCCCCCAAACCACTGATGTGGATGATCAGGGAGACTTGTCCCCCTCCCCCACCACTGATAGGGATCCTTGGAGAGAAGGTCCCTCATCCCTTCCAGACACCAGAAGACACTTACCTGGCCATAGGCAGCAATCCCGGTCAGCTCCTCGCCTCGTCTGCTCTCCACATGGCACCAGAGAGTCCAGCCACAGCCTCCAACATGGCCGCCTCCTCCTGCAATGAGAGACTAATGAGGACGGTACCTGGAGAGGCGGGATCAGAATCTCCTACCTGGAGCAGGTGTGACCGCAGGTGAATCATTACCCCAGTAGGTGGCCATGGCTGCTGCCTGATCAGACCAATCATCCGTCCTGACGGGAGACAGCCACGGCCACATCCAACTTTCATTGGGTGCTCATTGCAAAAATAACTACAGCGGGCACGGGGAGACCCTCAGTCTTTGGTCAGGGGAGACCCTCAGTCTTTGGTCAGGGGAGACCCTCAGTGTTTGGTCAGGGGAGATCCTCAGTCTTTGGTCAGGGGAGACCCTCAGTCTTTGGTCAGGGGAGACCCTCAGTCTTTGGTCAGGGGAGACCCTCAGTCTTTGGTCAGGGAACCTCCCCTCTGTATGAAAGTGTCTGGAGGGAGAACTTCAGCCACATTAATAGCCCAATAAATGACAACAAACTCAGCCACTGCAGTACATTGACCCACCACTAGATGCCCTCAGACTGAAGAACAGCATCATCAAACCCACGTTCTCTGAGCCCAGGTCCTGCTGGATCTGCCCTCCGCCCGGGACTGGAAGTTACAATACAATGATGTACCTGACTTCCGCCAACACCTATATAACCCCCCCTCCTCCTATATACCCCCCACGACACACCTATATAACCCCCCCTCCTCCTATATACCCCCCACGACACACCTATATAACCCCCCCTCCTCCTATATACCCCCCACGACACACCTATATAACCCCCCCCTCCTCCTCCTATATACCCCCGACACACCTATATACCATACCCCACGACACACCTATATAACCCCCCCCCTCCTCATATACCGCCCCCCCATGACACACCTCCTATATACCCACCCATGACACACCTCCTATATACCCCCCTCCTCCTCTTATATACCGCCCCCAACGACACACCTATATACCCCCCTCCTCTTCCACACACCTCCTATATACCCCCCTCTTCCTCCTATATGACCCCCATGACACACCTATATACCATCCCCCACAACACACCTCCTATATACCCCCCTGCTCCTCTTATATACCGCCCCCCCCCCCGACACACACATATATATATACCCCCACCTCCTACATACCGCCCCCCCATGACACCTCCTATATACCCCCCTCCTTGTATATACCCCCCCACAACACATCTCATATATACCCCCACCTCCTATATACCCACCCACGACACACCTCCTATATACCCCCCTCCTCCTCTTATATACCACCCCCCACGACACACCCTATATACCCCCCTCCTCCTATATACCCCCCCCCCACAACACACACACCCATATACCCCCCTCCTCCTATATACCCCCTTCCTCCTCCTATATACCCCCCTCCTCCTCCTATATACCCCCACCTCCTATATACCCCCCTCCTCCTATATCCCGCCCCCCGACACCTATATACCCTCACCTCCAATATAACCCCCCACAACACACCTCCTATATACCCCCCTCCTATATACCGCCCCCCAAGACACACCTCATATTTACCCCCACCTCCCATATATCGCCCCCCACGACACCTCCTATATACCACCCCCCCAAAACACACCCTATATACCCCCCTTCCTCCTCCTATATACCCGCCCCCCCCAAAACACACCTATATACCCCCCTTCCTCCTCCTATATACCGCCCCCCCACGACACACCTCCTATATACCCCCCACCAACTATATACCCCTCCTCCACACACCTCCTATATACCCCCACCAACTATATACCCCCTTCTTCTCCACACACCTCCTATATACCCCCAACTATTTACCCCCCCTCCTCCACACACCTCCTATATACCCCCCACCAACTATATACCCCCCTCCTCCACACACCTCCTAGATACCCCCACCAACCGTATACCCCCCCACCTCCACACACCTCCTAGATACCCCCCCTCCTTCTCCAGACACCTCCTATATACCCCCTCCTCCACACACCTCCTAGATACCCCCCTCCTCTTCCTATATACCGCCCCCCCCACGACACACCTCCTATATACCCCCTCCTCCACACACCTCCTAGATACCCCCCTCCTCCTCCACACCCCTCCTAGATACCCCCCCCCTCCTCCACACAGCTCCAATATACCCCCACCAACTACATACCCCCCCCTCCACACACCTCCTATATACCCCCACCAACTATATACCCCCCTCCTCCACACACCTCCTATATACCCCCACCAACCATTTACCCCCCCTCCTCCACACACCTCCTATATACCCCCACCAACCGTATACCCCCCTCCTCCACACACCTCCAATATACCCCCACCAACTATATACCCCCCCCTCCTCCACACACCTCCTATATACCCCCACCAACCATTTACCCCCCCTCCTCCACACACCTCCTATAT